CTTGAAGACTCGCGTGTCTTCCTCATGGACTGGCCGAGCAAGAGCCCCGATTTGAACGTTATTGAGAACCTTTGGGGTATTCTAGCCCGTCATGTTTACAAGGGTGGGTGACAATTTGATAATGTGTCTTGGTGGAAAATGATAGGTACTGACTACTTGAAGACGCTAGTGGATAGCATGCCAACGCGTTTGGCTCAAGCTATTTTGAAAAATGGCGGTAGTATCGACTATTAGCGTAGTCCGCATATAAATATTTCGAGAAATATAATTCGCGATTCTAGTATAGTCCCTTTAAAGATAGGTTTAGATATCTTGGCACTTACACCACACTGCAAACTCTCTTTTACGACGTAGGACATGGTCAGATCAAAGCAATTGTCAGGACTTCTCCACAAAACCAATGTTTTCATGTCCGCATATAATTATTTCGCTCACAAGCCAACGACAAAACTAACGCACGTCTGACGTGTACGCCTTGTTCGTTTCGCGATCAACTGTCTTTCGACAGTCGCCTTCAATTGAGACGAACGGGTTGCCGTCTTCAATATCTTCACCGACTGCTTTGGCTCTTCTTTCACCAAGCGTGCAACGTCCAGTTGCTCCAACTTCTCGTAGAAGTCGGCTAACTGTCTTCCCACACGCGATTCAGTGACGCGAATCTTCGTGTCCATCTTCAACGCCGCTATCGCCTTTGTCACGGCGTCGAGGTCCAATACCTGCACCTCTCGTGCAGACAGGAAATAGTCACGCCATTCGTTCTCCGCGAAATCTTCAAACGACCACCCAAAATCATATGCGCAGACACACGGCACAATCTTCTGATCGATGCACGCCGCCAGCGGCATCAGAAACAAGGTACCACCATGTCGCGGTTCAGCACTTCCACGCGTCGCGAGTACGCTAGGTACTCATCCATGAACTCGCGACGCTTACGCTTCGTGCTTCCCTTTTAAGTGGACGCCAACGGCACTTGCTGTACGCCCATACGATTCTCCTGCCGAGGCGCTTCGGCTGCTCGGACCGTCGTAAATGCCGAACGCTGATTCGCCGGCTCTGCAAATAGACCCCATCGTTCGCTGTCACGGCGAACTTTTTGATTCAGCTCTTCTACCTTGAAGTGCTGCTGACGCATCGCATCTGATGCTTCTCGGAGCATATCACTATGCGTTTCAGAGACTCTGGCTTGCTCAGCCATCTCTCGTTTCAGCTCCTCTTGCTGACCCACCAACACTTCTTGATGTCGCACGAAAAATGCGCGCGACGTCTCTTGATCCCGGCGATTCATATCCTTCGCCGCAGCCATCACCAACTGTCTAGAGGACTCATCCTCCAGCCGTTTTGCCATGTCTTCTTGCTGTGTATAAAACTGCGAACTGCGCCAGCTGCTCGTAAGTCATATGATTGTACTTGGCTTTACCTCAGCGCGCTCCACGCGCTGCATCCGAAGTTCGTCCATCTCCGACTGGTTCGGCGGAGGTAAAGGCACGGCCACTACGGTCTCCATCGACCATGTACGTGTCACACGAGCCAGCGAGCTCGTAAACTGTAGACCTTCATGTTCCATTCTTGAACGACAAGTAGCAGCCTGCTACTTAAGAATTCTTTGTGCGTCTCCACCAGACGGACTTTGCGAAGTCCGATTCACAAAACATATCACGAAGTAATTCCCCCAGCGGCAAGCCGCCACTGGGGCTCAAGCAATTGAGTGTAAATTGGAAAGTGATTGATTAAGCCGAGGTTAAGCTAGACTTCGAGAATGTTCGCTTTCTAGAAATTCTGCATTAGGCAGCGCTAGGGCAATGCGGCTTCCATTAGCTTTCACTTGCGCAAGGCTCATGTAACATGCAGAATGGGCAGATTATGTATGATGTGGCCTTAATGCGATATTTGATTTGTGGATCAAATATTTCACGCCGATGTGGCTCAACATTCCCCTGTCTTCTCCCATGCGGACGTCCTCGGCCACACTTGTCGTTGTCGGCATGTCGGCTGGCTGAGGCGTCTCAGCAGCCGATGCAGGTGCTGCAGTCGGTACCACGCTTGGCGCATGTATCGCATTGCCTTCTTACCCCGTTCCGCGCCGGTCGATCGGCTGTGGCTGGGTTCTTCGAGGAGACCCATATGGCCCGCGAAGACGTTCGCGGCCTTGGCGCACTCTAGACTCGTACCGCACTGCGTATCGCCGCGCTCCTGCGAACGTGACTTGCAGCTTGGCGAGACCTCATCAATATCACTCATCGTGAGCTCGATACGATGCTCAAAAGAATTCTTTATCCGCACCCCGCACTTTTGACGTCTCGTCGAAGCTACAGGAACCATTCGCTTGGTCCGATTTACAATGCAAACTGAATTACAGTCAGTTAGCCAGTGGCTTCGAGGTGAGCCACCCCGCTAACCGCGCTTACTGGGCATCTACTACTAGCCCTACTAGTAACGACTTAAGCTAATCGGAGTCTCCAAACCGTAGTATTTTTCACCAATCATATCTTGTTCGGAATTGCGAAGTTTGACATCTTGGTTTGGGACTCGACCAACCGACCTTTCGCGAGGTTGAGTTGGATCTGGGCACCCAGAACTCCATTACTACACGAGTCAACTCTAGAACCACAACCTTGTCTCGGCCATTCCAATGCAGAAGCTACCGTCCTCGATGGATGGTGGTACATTCCAAAGACTACAGCTATCAGGATGCTCCTCGGAATCGTACGTCGTGCAGGTCCAAGGGGTGCAGAGGGCTTGGTGGCACTGCCAGGCGTTGACCTACGCTTGGACCCCATTCAACCGACGACGCAGCGCTGGTGCAACAGAGGCCACCCGCTGGATGCCACATGCTTCGTCGAGGTTGACCTTGTAGGCACCGCCCTCCCCCGACGCTTTGACCAGTAGTCTCGAATTGTTGGATCACATTTACCGTCCACTCCACGTCGAAATGCTGAGAGTGTTCGAGTCGACGTGTGAACAAGTAACACGCGGTTCACAAGCATCGTGCTCTTCACGCGGAGAGGGGGCAGGCATCGAGAGCACCTCATGGTGCCTGCACTGGGTTTGGTGATCACTATGTAATACTCCAGCGGCCGTGTCGCGGGTGCGGCTAGGTGCTGTCTCATACCGACCACGCACACTCGACGTCGCGACATTATCAGTTAGATCCGTATGATCACTACATTCTCCCCCTGATGTCGCCTTGGTCTCTCCCGACTTCTCGCGTAAGTCTTGGACAAGCTTCTTCAAATGCGCAACGTGCTTGATTGTTCGCTCCAACTCCCATGTTGCTTCGTGCTCTGGCATACCATGCCGCTTGACAAGGTATTCCTTCTTGCGATTGAATTGCCGTTGTTTTAGCATCGCTTCTACGATAAAGAGC